ATTATGTTCCTTTTTAAGGCTTTAACAGCACCAATACACATTCAAGAGTAAATGCTGCGATGTGCCATGCCTGCTCTTCCATTGGTGTTTTTTTTCCACTAGCCTCTTTAGGTATATATTTTTGAACTGGACTTATTTGATGCGCTGTAGTTTCTTTTTACGTCTAGAGGTGTGTTATAAATCCTCCTAATTTTCTCGACCCACGACTCTTCTTTTCTTTCGTCACTAAAAACCCTGCGCCACACTGACGAAGAAATCATTGTTTTCTTCAAGCAATTTGGTGTAGCCTTTGTTTTCTCTCGCCGCTCATTTCGTTCATGCAAATTCAAAATCTACAAGTTGCAATTCTTTTAAACGGGCTGCAGCAATTCCATTCGTGAGATCGTCAGTGTCTTCCTACCATTTATTTAACGACCCTGTTAAAGTCGCTAAACAACGATAAAAGGAAATTGTGTTTCTCGGTATCCGTTAACGTTAATGTTACTATTATAGGCACCGCCTTTTTCTGGGTTAAGGAAGACTAAGAATATATAGATCACTCGCTAAAATCGTTCCGGATTTATTTTTAGGTCGGCTATATTACCTGGTTAATGGAAAGGGTGTTAGCATAAAAGGGGGTGGGTATGCGCTAACTTTAGGTTGTGATATTCGAAAGGGGTGAAAATCGGTAACAAAGTTGTTAGGATTTTCAGCATTTAATTAAAATGGTTGAAACTTCCATGAATTTTAGCATCTTGTTTAGTTACTTATTAAAAGAAGATGCGGTTAAAAATAGTTGTTAGGGCGTAGCCACTTAAGGTAATCATTTAAGTGTATTTATCAAATCCTCAAAGCTATGAAAAAGTTATGTATGACACTAGGAAGGACCTCTCCTGAACTGTGTACCATGTTTCTGAAGCTCATAACGAACCTCAATTTTGTTAAAATAGAAACGCCTTATACCAGTACGTATCAGCAGATATGACAAAAACGGTTTCATCATGTTACAGTACTTACTTTAAATAAGCATACATATTGCAGTAATATTTTTTTAGTTATTCACTGATAAATTTGAGTCACAGTTTGTACGAATTATTACTACACAATATTCGTTTTTATGAGTATCTGAGGCTTCAAGTTAATTTCAGTCTCTGCACACATCATGGCATGTGAATTTTTGTGATCATTTCTGATCAACTTTCCAACATTTGTGTCATAAAGCAAGGCCACACCTTATCAAAAATCAAAAATACAGCCGACAGGAAAGCTGAGATATTTAGAAAAGTTTTGTAAGGAGACTCACATTGTTTGTTTAAAATAGAATGGATAAACATATATATTCTTTGAGGCCTGAAAACAAAGCTTGATGTACTCAAACATCCTTTACTTAAGTGTTTTCAGTCTGTAGAGAAAATCGGATGGTCTCTACATATATTTACAGAACCAGCATAATAGCAATTATAGTATCTCCGACTAGTCATCTAGAATTCCGCTGCCATTGTTCGAATGAGTTTTTATGTGTTTGGATGTTCAGTAGTAAATGACCATTCGCCACTCAACTAAATTACTTTAACGTGTCCGACAAGCCTGCTGCTCAAAGATAACATGATAGCCACGTAACCAACACAGTAATTATTGTACTTACAATGTTACAACCCATTTATGGGAAGGTTCAATGGGATATACTTATAGATACCAAGGTTGGTTGGAAAGGCATTTATGGCTTTTTGAAGAAAAAAGTGCTGATGGATAGAGGGAAGGGGGCAATTCGTTTTTGACGTTAATACAAAGGTCCATTGGCCTCGATTTCTAATCATTCTAGGCAGTACATAGTGAAAAATGATCGGTGCACAAAAGTTTGAATGGCTATTGCCGAATAGGTGGATCTAGAGTTTCTTGTAGTTTGTATTTTTGTATCACCCAGAAACGCCATACATTCCGAAGTTTGACTTAATCGATCAACACTTGTGAAGTACGAAGTTAATATCTTTGAAATGCACTTATTTGCATATATAGTTATAATTTAGAAAAGTAGTGAGTACATTTTATTGCACAATGGCAATTATTTACAATTTCTATTATTGTAACATTACCTCAAGTGTACAAATTGTTTGTACTATGTTTGCACAGGAAGTAGCAAACATATATTTCTATCAATATAGTGTATTTTTTAAGTTATGGTATTGTTTCCAAATACATAAATTGTTTTTTTGTAGAACTGTTGTTTCCCGGTCATTGGATTATTCGAAATTATTATCGATAAATCCTTTTTCGTCTATTCGACCGTACCTCCAAAAGGAAAAAAGATATATGCGCATTGTTTTATTTAGCTACAATAGCTTAAATAAATAACATTGTTTGGGTGTGCTTGGACAGACAGTTTGGGCACGAATTCGTTTTATTAATGTACCTAATTTATAATTTGTGTTAATCGCCGTGTTACAAAACTCAATGAGTGTTTTTATGATTCGTTTCTGAGTAACGGCCATAGAACCTTGAATAGCATCTCGTTAATTCTCTCACAATAAATCGTTCACGCAGAATGACGTGATATTCCGTAATTCCTGAAATACGATCCATAGAAAGAGAACGATACATAGACGCGAATCGATTATAGTACAGGCAAATCTAATGACCATGTTTTTATTAAAACTTTTTACACTTATAGATAGATATACAGGAATAGTTGAAAGTCTTCGATAAGCCTGAATAAAAAAACACTTCAATATTATTTGTAGCCTGCCACTCCGAAATGCTTCAAGAAGCTTGCGAATGAAGATAAAAGCAAAATGTATCCCGCAATACGTGTTCTGCTTGGAAACAGAAGGTATACATTCACATTATGTTGACTATTCATGAGTGTGAAGTCGGACATACCACTCGCAGGATTTTTTTTTTGTGAGACAACCCTAAGTCCTCTGTGCCCCACGTAAACTCAGGTTGCTTTGTACGCCACTGCTGCTGATACTCTGCAAGCGTAATCAAATCATTTTCTCTATGGACATTTCCATTCCGATCTTCGTAGCTTTGTTTATCCCATATTGAAGCAAAAAACACGCCGTGTACAACAAATATCGAGGTGGTCACACTAGAGATAGACGGTCCTGAATTTAGCAAATTGAGGAAGCAGTTTGTAAATTTGTGTTTTTAAGCAAGCGGCAACTTAGAACAGAACTTATAAGTCATATGTGGGCAGTACTCGAAATTTCTGCAAGAGCGACATGTAAGACTAGTAACTGGATTTTGACAGTAAAACACGTGGTGCTTTTGCTTTTATAACTTCCTTGCTTGTGCGTGCTGAGCAAAATTAATTTTTTTTATGACCGGACTAACGAATCGACTTCGTGTGCACGCATCACGTAACTCGCACAGCGAGCGGATCTAATATCCAAGATGAATGTATGAATGCACTCTTAATTATTATACTAGGTTGCGTGTGCAGTTACTTCCTTATTTTTCATCGGGATTAATCACAATCGCCGCAGACAATGGGTTCCGAGTCGAGGCTGTATGGCGACACACTGGGAATTCAATGCGTGGTTTATGATTATTGTTCCGTGTACAGGGTGATTAGTGCTTTGTGACTCACACTAATAGTTGTGAGCCAACGGATTCAGACCAGGCAGAAGTCTATGACTTGTTTTTCTCCAAAATCTCATGGTTTATACTCAGGACGAAAGAGCATACTACAAGTCGATCAGGCTTAAGCCGCCAGGTTAACATATGAAAGTGGGTGGGTTCCATACAGTCCTGGTGTTCCAGACAGTTGTCTAAAATGGTGACAGTCTAGTGCAAAGAGCCCTTTAAACAGAATAATTCATCGATAAGTGTTAATTATATCTAGTCATCGGGATTTGAAAGTTATTAAGTATATATAGTAATTTTGATTGATTTCAGACCACTTCTTGTTTAATTGAGTTCACAGTCCAAATCTCCTTGTTAACAGAATTGTATACCTAACAACAACACTGAAAAAAGAAAGGTATTGAAGACCAACCAATTTTGATGGATACTGAAAAGCTCCAACTGACGCTTTAACTTTGAGTCTTATCTTCTTTAATTTTCTTAAAGTTCTTAGAAGGACTTTATTTGCACATTTTAAGTAACTTAACGTTCTCATTTTATTGCCACGAGAGTCTAGTGAGGACGGTCAGTAGGGTCCAAAAAAACTATGAATTGATTAAATTACTTCCAAATCTCTCTCTCTCTCTCTCGCCGAGTTATTGACATGTCACTTTGGCAGGCAATAGGTACCTTTACATTTACACTCTTTCCTGCGGGATTGGAACGCCCCGTTCCAATCACGCGAATTCTCGCGCGTCCAAGCGTGGCGCGTCCTAATACGAACTGTCTTAAAAATTACAACTGCTTATCGCACGGTTTGAGTGTGTGTCGTGGAACGGTATAGGATAAAAGTGCAAATGTAAATCAAAAACTGTCATCTTTCGCGAGTGATATTCGTGGCATGTGGAGTCTTGAAATTTTCAACAGTTTTCAAGGCGGTTTTTATCTTCATAATGGATAAAATAATTAAGAAACGGAAAATAAGAGCAGCTTTGTGCTTGGCTGGGTATCTAAATATTCCAAATAAGAGACAAAGAAAGTGTTGGGTGAAAACATGGTTGGAAAATCGCAACAGATATGGACATTTGCCTCTGCTTCATGAGTTGCGTGATAATTATCCCATGGATTTTAGAAACTATTTGAGAATGGATTCTGAATCATTTAGAATTTTGTTGGATTTGGTTTCTCCAATGATTTCTAAACAAGACACAAGATTGCGGGAGAGCATAAGTGCCGAAGAAAGACTAACAACTACTTTGAGATACTTAGCTACAGGTCGTTCGCTTGAAGATTTGAAATTTTCAAGTGGAATATCTGCACCATCTTTATGTAAAATTATACCTGAGACATGTAAAGCTATATATGAAGTATTAAGGAAAACATATTTAAAGGTAAGATTACTTGTTTTATTGAAATAAACTTCCTGTGATAACAAAACTTGAATATAAACTAAAAAATTAATTACTAAAATCCTGACTAGCTTGCTCATAGTAAGCTGTTATACTTGCTGAATCTAAAGCATGTAATTGAGATGTTCTTTCTGGACGATGTAATGAAGAATTTGAAGAAGCAACACTATATGGGCTAGGCGGTGAGAAAAGTGGAAGTGGAACTGGTGATTCTTGCATAATTATCGTTGTCTCGGTTAATTGGTTTAATAATCCTTTATTTACAACTTGATTGTTAAGCATATCTGCATAAATAGCCTGAGTTGGATTCATCTTTTTAATTTTTTTCGCCCACGAAATTGCGGCTGCATCAAATTCATCAATTTCATTTTTGCTTTCAAGCTGATTCTTGCAGTAATTCATGAAGTCTGTTTGGGTCTTATTTTGTTTAGAAGTCTTACTTCTTTTATTTGAGGCAGGCTTGAAGGCAGCTGGACTTGTTGGACGTGCATGAGATGTTGAAGGCACTTGTGATGAAACACTTGCAGATTTCTAAAAAAAAATATTATTTTAGTTTCCATCTACGCAGCAGGATTGGCTGGAAGTAGCAAATGGATTTGAACAAAAATGGCAATTTATAAACTGTGGAGGAGCTCTGGATGGCAAGCATATTCGTATTGTACCTCCTCCTCATTCAGGAGCACAATACTATAACTATAAAAAATTTTATAGTATCATTTTATAGTATAATGGCTCTCGTCAATGCTGACTACGAATTTATTTTTGTCGATGTAGGCAAAAATGGAAGATTATCTGATGGAGGAGTAATTGAAAGCACCAAATTTTATCATAAGTTAATTCATGGTAAGTTGTTATACTTGTATATATGTAATTATGAATAATATAATTTTGTGGTTTTAGGCCAGTTACATCTGCCAAATAACACAGACACAGAAAATAATTTCAATTTTGTATTTTTGGGCGATGAAGCATTTTCTTTACATGAAAACTTTTTAAAACCGTATCCTCAAAGAGATCTTTCTTATAGTAAAAGAATTTTTAACTATAGACTATCATGAGCGAGAAATGTTTCGGAAAATGCATTTGGCCTGGCGGCAAGGTTTAGAATTCTGCATACACCAATACATATGAAGAACCCGGAAAACATCTGATACGTTGTACTTGCTATTTGTTCTCTTCACAATTTTCTTAGGAAGCGTGATACTTCTTATACAACATCAACATCATTTGATCAAGAAAATCTGATAACTAAAGAGTTACAGGTGGGTGATTGGAGAAAAAATGCCGTTAATATGACAAAATTAGAAAGTCGTAACAAAAAAGTAGCTACCATAGCTGCGAAAACTAATCGAGATAATTATACAAGTTATTTCAATTCAGATGGAAAAGTTGATTGGCAGGATGAAATGTTGGCCAAAGGAAAAGCTTAATGTATATTTTTGTTTTTAATAAATAAGTACCTAAAAAACTTACTTGTGTATTATTTACTTCTGTTTTCTCTTGAAATTCAACTTCTTCTTCAGTAGAGTGGTTGGAATTTTCTGTTCCTTCATCTTCCATGTTACAAATGCTTTGCGTGGGTATTTCCTGATCAATAGTAAACTGGAGTAAGTCGAAATACCATAATGTGGGAGTATAAATTTCATCTGTACTAGCTCCACTTTGCTTGGATTCCTCTATCTTTTTTAATTCCTTCCGAAAAGAACCACGAAAACTTTGTATTTTCTTCACAACATAATCTCGATTTGCTTCTGGATGTAATTTTGTACAAAACTCGACTAATTTGTCGTAAGCAGCATTTTTCAAATTTCTGTTTGTATATTCTCGGGATTTGATTTTCCATAAGCATGGATAAGATTTATATATTTCAATAAACTCTGAAACAACTTCTTTCGACCAATATCGTGTATCTGCCATATTATCTACCTAACAATTAAAATAATTGAAACTTTGTATAAGTATATACAATAAAATACTTACCCACGCTAGAACACAATTTACGCACAATTGCCCGCGCGAAAGTAAAATGTAATCAAACGTCTTACCTGCACGAAAATCACTAGCGACGAAAATGCGAGTTTGAACACGTCTAAAAACCGAGCGATTATTTCTCATTTACACTGGCATGCTTTCGCACACGATTGGAACGGGGCGTTCCAGTCCCGCAGGAAAGAGTGTAAATGTAAAGGTACCTAATGGTAGACAAAAGCACCAAAATCACACACTTTTTGGCGACAAAACATACGCACTTGGCTCCTAACCTATTAAAATTCGTTGATGTGAACCATAAATTTTTCAACAGCGGAAGTACTGTTACAGATTTACTTATTGAAAACCACACAATAATCCCAAAATGGCCACAAAAAAACATAACTTTTACTGTACTTGAGTTTCTAATGCAACTTCTACCAAACTTAACAGTAAAAGGCGTAAACCTAAAATTGTCTACCAACATCCTCTCACAAATATGTTTAAATACGGTTTAAATATACGGATTTTGTAAACGAATTATGAATGAAGTCTCAACTACCAAATAACAGCTGATTATTGTAGAGTGTACTAACATTAAGCTGATTGCAGGATACATACAGGGTACAAAAAACAGAATTTGAGTTCGAAAGGAAATCTTCATGCTAATATGACCGCTTTCCATGATAGCAACCAAACGCATTAACATTTTCGAGATGTTGATTAAAATTTAATCTAATAATGATTTAATCAAATCATTTTCTACGTCAAACTGGTTCTAATTGACCCTAGTAAGTTTAATAACGATCTTTGATATAAACTGTACTTGAATCATGGGGTAAATATGAGATCTAGGTCTGTTATTAATATTGAAAGAAACATTTCAACTATATACAAGTAGTATAGGATGATGAAGCGTTGCCTACTCGGTAAGAAACCATGCAGAAATAGGGTACAATCATCATAATATTCTTGGACGGTTTGACGGTCTTTTATCGTGATGCAGATCTCAGAATGTACGAAATATATTTGTAGACCAGCCCCAAATTTAGAGGTACTAGGTATAGCAATATAATAATTATTTGTTTAATTTTTTTCTGCCGTCAGACCGATATTGACATAAGTTCTTCAAATGAGTTCCTCAAGTCTTTCACATAAACGAATCCACTCTATTAACACTCATTAGCATCAGTTGAGAAGTTCTAAACACTACTGTGATGCGACTTGGCGGAAACCTTCAATTAAGGATGTAACTTATCCACTTATATGGGACAAAGGAGGAAATAATTTCTCTGAATTAAATCTGCTAGACTGTCATATCAAGTAGAATGCTGGTACCGGATTAAGAAAAATCCTGTTAACTTATAAAGAGATTTGGTAGGTTATATTAGGTTTTAATATGTTATTATGAATAACGTAATACCCCTTAATGACTAACCAACAAATAAACCAACCAAAAACACAGCTCCTATGGACTACGGTTGTCCAAAAATACATAACATACTATATCTTGGTGAAAAAGTATGTCATTATTAGCCGAGCACTGCTATATCCTAAAGCACATAGTGGCGAGGGATATAACGTGCAAGGATAATAATTCCTTCCTTTTCCACTAATAAGTTTAATATATTACGTTTAATTGAATTTAGCATATCCCATAATTTCCATAATGTCAGACAACACTGTATGATAAAGCCCACGCAATATCTACATCACAGAACGGTGTGTAGGAGAGGGAAGGCTACCGCTACATGATAAGTGTCCGATAAAGATAAAGATGTTACATATGTCGACACATCATTCGTTTTTTAATTATTCCATCAATCATCAATAATAATTTCACAATAAATATTGGTAGTATTTAAAATGGAATAGATGGTTGAATGGCAGGGTTATCATTATTTATTTACCTAGTGGGAGTAATGCTCGGAGAAATGTAAGTTCTTCTTAGAGTCATGTGGTATTGTGATTTCTTAGGGCAGTAATGAAAAAGATGTGGTAATTCTTAGAAATGATGTTCCAAACGTACAAATAATGAAATTGAATTCTTAAAATCTTATGTTAAAGACAAATTAACAACTTGATTAGATATGGATCCAACATTTTTCCAACTTCCGAATTCTTTCATCAGTGGAGACCTCAAAAATAACTGAAAATTATATTTGATCAAAAATGCCCTTCTCTCTGTGTGAGGTCGAACCGACACAAACCAACCCTATAGCTAGGGTTCATAAACTTCATCCTCTGTTTTATGGCTCTTTATTTTCGAGATCCATGTCTATTATAAGCCGCCAAAGAATTGCAATTGTAATCGTGCACGGAATATCAACAATAAAGAATATCAATAGAAAATAATCGCGTTTGAACGTGGTCCGACCATCCGATCACTATGCTGGTCCCGTAGTGCCTCAGGCATTCCCGTCGTGCATCTATCCACTCTACAGAGTTGCCAAGTTCCATGCTTTGCAAGATTTTGTTGAAGTAAAAAGTATTTTTGGGAGACAATAACACATTTTTTGAGAATACCCCTATTCCTCCATTCCATTCCAAAAATGCAATTAAGTAAGCTGAATCGATGCTCTCCACACATTACTACACAACAGTGGCTTGCATTATTTTCTTATATTTCCGATACTTGGTGGCGAACTTATACAGGGTGTCACTAAAGTAAGGGAACGACTATGTATTTTTTTAGACAAAGTATTTATGGAGCTGAAGTCAGGTCTTTAATTACTTTTGTTTTTTTTTAATGGAATTTCCGACACCGGCAGTAGAAAGAACGAAAGAATCTACATGCGAATATGTATTAAAATCTAAGATCAAGGTCAAATGAAGGTCAAAAGTGTGCGACTAAGGAGAATTACTACAATTTCAGCAAGATTATTGATTAAACAATCAATGTCAGACATTTAGTTACTTTTAATAAGGATTTCAATATTGATCTGGGATTTGACCTTGACCCTCATTTCCAAGGTCATATCAGTACATCACTCCTTTCTTCAAAACAGAGGTACTTGAAAAGAAATCTATCTACCCGTGAAACAAATTAATACCTAATTTCATTTTTCATTGTGCTTGGGTGTCTTGCCACTGCTGCTTTCAAGTCTCGAAATTACTTTCTGAAATTTCCAACCTGCACAATTCTTGTTGAGATGTCAACAGTCATGTGACCCACCTGGCTGACAAATTACTGATGTTCAAATTGTCGAGCACATTAGTTATTACGCTGGGTTCCGACATGTTCAATGCCATACTAATGATAGAGTCCTTCACTTGAAGATCTACGAGAACCATGACTTAAACTTTTTGAGTCATTTCATCAATTGTTGTTTTGGATCACCCACTTCAGGGACCATTTTCCATGGACGGATTCACGCCCACATCGAATCTGTTTCGACCAAAATTTTGTTGTGTAATATGATGGTGCATCATCCCCGTAGACGGTAACCATACTCTCAAGAATTGTTTTCAGCTAATGGCCCTCTTTTATAAATTGGAAACTAATTATGAAGATAAACTCAAATTTTGCATGAACAAATGCCACACTATTTGACTTATTATGCTTGTGCGTTTCAACTATTTTTTTCATAGCTAGGTAGTGTCCTTCGGTTTCTTGTGTTCAACCCAAGCTCTGCCGGAAAAGCTTGATAAACCCACCTTTTGTCTACCTTGTCAAGAGCACCACGTTGCCATTTTAAATATTTGAGTAATTTAGAAGGAAACTGCCTTGTTTCACATTGTACGTATTTGATTGTTCCGATGATGACGTGACAACACTGGGTTAAACCAAGGTCACGTCTTACCGAACTCTGCCGGAGGAACATAGTGACGAACAGGAGAGGATCGTTTGGAGAAGAGAAAGGCATTACCAGGAAATTTATGGTAGTGCGACCTGCGGTCACGTTGTCTCTGAACATTTTTGAGAATTCGTCGAGAGATGGATACAGCGCGCCGTTTCCTTGTTTTACTGAATCAGATAAACGCATGTTATATAGTCGGACAACTCGTTCTTGAACATGTTTATTCGCTCGCAGCAGATAGTAGTTAAAGGTATAAGAATATTACTGGAATATCTACGTACAGGCAAGCAGAGTGCCTATACAGAACTGCAAATAAGAACTTGAGGATATCTGCAAAGTCCAGAATATCTGGAGATCAAGCTTATATTGTCAGTTGAAATAATACGTCCAATGACAATCTAGGATAAAATTGAGGCGCGCCTCTATCCAAATTTATTGCTAGGTTGCGATCTAGTATAGTTGAGTATGCTTTAAAAAGTCAGTGGCTTCAATACAGTGTATAACATTTTAACCGCAACTAGATCTAGTTGAACTTTTTCATTATATACTCGTACATCACGAGAACAATGATACTCGTTTCCGTCGGTCTGTCTGTCTGTGTGTCCGCTAAACAACAAAGCTCTAAGAACGAAAATATAGTTTTCGAAAATCGGTCCAGTTATTGATATTCCAGAGGCTCCTGAACGAAGCCAAAATCAGTAGGTATATTTGGAGGAAGCAAACCAACAAATGTGTAGTTTCTGTAGTTTGAGAATGATCCAATATATTTTTCGTCGTTTTAGCTTTTAGAAGTTAATTTTCTTGAACGTACTTGCTATGACGCTTTTTTCACGTACTTTTTTACCCCCTATTTGAAGTAGTTCCGTATATATCTGATATTTCTTGTAGTTAATAACCTCAGTAAATATTAATTATGCACGCAATTTTTTATATGAAAGTACATAAACTCGGTTTCAAATAGTTTAAGAGAAGCTGATAGGCCTAGGCGTTCCTTTGTAGATGTTTGTTTCACCTTCCGTCTTGAAACTCGCTTTTCGGACACAACTAATATTGTCTATTATAAGCAACTAAAACAATTTCGATTAGAGGATCCTTCAACTAAGATCAATCAACATCAACACCATTTGATAGATGAGGTGTAAACCAGAAGTAATAAACCATTGATAGTACATCAATTTATATCCACTCCGAATCATTCGGATAGCTATCATTCAAGGCCTCAGTGTAAATGACGTAGCAGGTGAA